TTTTCCAAGGTATCATCGTACTTTCCTCGACTCGAAGTGACCTTATTAATCGTTAATCATCGTTCGGCCAACGATGCACTATTTTGAAAAATGAAATGATCGTACGAAGAAAAGTGAGAGCAGACCATCACGAATGTTGGTTTCACAACTCATGGTTGGAATCCTTGCCGAATAGACACGTGAGCGAAATTAAATTCTTAACAACGTGAAAACGTTAATTCGTATGGCTAATAGTTACGTTTGACGTTTGACGAAGTCTGATTTGCTGGACACGTGCGTATTAACGAGATAAACAAGACAGATCGCGTGGGGTGGCTCCGAATTGAAAGGAACATTGGCCTGAAAATGTCACCGTATAATTAACGTCGTGCCCGTGGGTGGCGACGCGACGTGACGTCACGTCGTGATCAAGAAGCTGGTGAACGCTCGCGGAGAATACCGATCGCCAGTTCTTCCAGTTCGACCACCATTGCCAACACCCACGAAGTAACATTTATCGTGTTCATCCCTCCCCTTTTGTCTTAATGTTACAAATATTTGAGAAATGACGAAGATCGTTTGGAAAGGAAGAAATCATTTTCTTTTGTCTTAATGTTACAAATATTTGAGAAATGACGAAGATCGTTTGAAAGGGAAGAAATAATTTGACGAAGCCTCTCTCGTTTATTCTTTATTATTATTATTATTTGAATTCTAATGATTTATATGTGGAATACCTTGACTTTGGATACGTGTCTTCTCAAACGATTATAGCGTGATTGATTAACGATTATATATTGATTTCTGTTTGGATAGAAATTTCATTGATTCACACAAATCTATTTATTTTTAATTGCCATTAATTTGAACTATGATGATCTGTGTGTGAAATATTTTGATAACGTTTCCTAATGTTAAATAAATTGTAACGTAATTGAGTAATATTATTTTATTTCGATTTAATATCGGTTAATAACGATTTCCATTTACACAGAAATTTAATTGTATAAATCTACTTAGTTTTAATTATTATCATTTAAATTATGATGATTTATGTGTGGAATATTTTGACATTGTGTCTTTTAATGTTCAATGATTGCTTAGCGATCTAAGCTAAAAACCATGATCTTGCTTAGCGAGAAATAATAATTATTTAATTATATTCTCGTATGTATAATATGTACTTCGTGCATATTTGTTTCTTTTTGAACTTTTCCTCTTAGATTCTGTGCGATAAATTCAAGATAAAAAGCAACTGAACTGTTACTAAAAATTAGAAATACTTTTGATATTTTGATATTTTTAACATTGCACATTACACTTATTCTGTGTATTTTTACTTGTCCTCGAACTATTCTTATCGAAAAAATCTTTTTCCAAACGTATCTCTGAAACGAATATTTTCAAATTTCTATATACGCACGATTTCGAATTCCTTTCAAATTTCACCAATGCACGGGATGTTCCATCCAAGTTTGCCACGTCAGATATCTCCGTCGTTACTGTAGATATAAAAAAAAATTTTACTAACAAAAGTTATCCAACACAGAGGAAACCGCAACATGACACTATTGACTTTTTTCTTTTTTTTTTTTT